AGAATAAGGGCTTTGGCCCTATCGACTTTGGAGTTTTTGTAAAAAGCCTGGTTGTTTTTTGTTAAAATTTTGTTTTTAAATAAATTCTGGAAGTAAACTGGAAAGAGTTTTTTTTTTGTAGCACTGGATTTCATATACTGTGTTGATATATAGCCAAGTAACTGCTTCTTATTTTTTAATATTTTCGATATAGTTTGTTTAGAGAATCTTTTCTATGCGGGTAGGTGGTTTCTCTTTTCTTGAGGTTGTTAATGAGTCATAAGCTATCTCCTATATTTTTCTGCTGATTGGGTACTTGAGTACAAAGTGTTCTAATTTTTGAGTTACATGTGAGCAGTGGGAACAGTCCTCTATAGCATTGTGGCCAATGTGCATTAGGCAGTAGCCTAGGGGAAGGGCCCTGTGAGCAAGGCGCCAGAAGATGTCCGTCTTTTTGTTTAGAAGCCATTTGAATTTAGCCATTCAAAGCCAGTAGGCTTCTGAGATGCATTTTCTATGCTAATTATTTTATTAGGGGGGTCATGGAGATTTTGGATTGCCATTTTAATACTAAATTGTTGTCCCTCCATCTTTTGGATGCTAATTTCGTTGAGCTTCCAAGGCTAGTTACCAGTTGATTTAATTTTTCTCTTGAACCTGGCCCAGGCAGTGATGTAGGGTTTTCATCTATCTGGCTAGCCCTTGGTTCTGCATAGTGATTGTGAGAGAGCAGCTGAGACCTGAATGCCTATTTTTCTAGTGAGTTTTAGCTCTGAGATGTTTCTCTTAGCTATTGCCCAGAAGGTGTTACTGGAGAGAAGTTTAAGTCACATTAAGAGTAGTCTAGCATCTAGCATATCTTTCAGTACTGGTGCTGTTAGACCTTCTAGCTCGTAGCTGCATTGAAAGACTAAGAGTTGAGGTGGCATTCTTGAGTTATTTTTGATCCACTTTGTGATTAGTGTGTTGATTATGTTTAGTTGTTTTCTTGTTGGAGAAAGCAGGTAGGCTAGGTACCAGATTTTTGAGATCAGTAGTGTTTATGCAACAAGAATTTTCCCTTTGAGTAAGAGGTTTCTTTGTGCTAGGTCTTGTATTTTGTTTTTAATTGTTTTTGTTATATCAGTCTACAGTGCTTTGTCTAGGTTTTCGTTTACATCAATCTTGTATCCAAGAACTGTGAATGAAGCCTGGTTGTTGTATATAATGTTAAAGTTTTCTTGTTCTAACAGTTCTACTCTTCAGGCATTTTCCATAAGCAGGATAAGAGAAGATTTGGTTTTATTGATTTTAGCATTTGAAGCCTGTTCATAGTTTAGGAGAATTTCATTTATCTTGTTCCAGTCTGAGAGTGAGCCAATTCCTATTGTTAGGTTGTCTACATATGCTGCGATTTTGAAGGTGGTGTTATATACTTAATGTTATTATTTATTGTCTGTATAAGAGGGTTGATTGCCAGAATGTATAGTAGAGGTGATAGTGGGTCTCCCTGTCTGACTCCTCTATCTACTTTGAATGCTTCTGAGATGTACCCCAAGTCTGTGATGTGGCACACTGCGTGAAAAATAGAGCTTGGACAATTTTGGTGAATTTTGGGTCAAAATTCATTTTTTCTAGTACTAATTATATGAAGTCGTGGTTAACATGGTCAAAAGCCTTTTGTTGATTAAGTAGAAAGATCCAGTATTGTTTGGACTGGTCATTCTGATTTCTGAGTATTGTAATAATGTCTAACGCTATGTCTGTGATTGATCTTCCTAAGATAAATGCTTGTTGAGCTGGTCCGATAATGCTATTGCAGATTGGATTAACTCGTGTAGCTAGAATCTTCATGAAGATTTTTGTGTCTGAATTGACCAGAGATATTGGTCTCCAGTTGTTTATACTAGATAAGTCATCTGCCTTTTTGGGTATAAGTGTGATAAGGCTCTTGCTCCAAGAGTTTGGGATCTGTCTTGAGTTTATGGCATGATTGAACAGCTTGGTTAGTATTGGTACTATGATTTCTTTGGTATCTTTATAGAATTCATATGTGAGGCCATCTGTTCCTGGTGACTTGTTATTTGGAAGATTTTTGATTATTAGTCTGACTTTTTCCTCTTCTATTGTAGATGTTAGAAGTGTGTTTTGATCCACAGTGACTTGGTCAAGATTTTTAGTGAGTTGAGAGGCTATGTCTATATTGATATCTTCCTTTTTGTAGATTTTCTGATACGTGTTGCGTATGTAATCCATAGTTTGCTCCTGTGAGTTGTTATCAGGGTTGTTTGGGTTTTTGTATAAAGCAAAGAAGTATTTGGTAGATTTTTCACCTTCTTCAATCCATTTGGCATTTGATCTCATCTGCCATTTGCTAGATAGGGAGCTTAGTTCTTCTTGTAATCTTAAATTTAGATTTTTGGTTATGAGTTTTAGTTCCTCTAGATTTGGATTTTTGACGATTTTATTGTTCAGACTGCAGAGCCTTCTGTGGATTTTCTGAATTGTTTTTTCTGGGGCTGGGTGAGGCTTAAAGGTTTTATTATTGATTGAATAGTGCATTTGTGAAAATCCCATAAAGAGAGCTCTTGTATATTTTGTATCTCATGAATAATATCTTTCTTGAGATTCAGGTTGTCCCAGCTTTTTCTGTTGAATCTCCAGAGTGATGTATTACTGTGGCATAGTTTTAGACACAGTTCACTTTTAACTAGCAGGTGGTTTGAATTGCCAAAGCGAGTACGAGAGTTGTTGCATAAGTGACTGTAATCTGCATCGATGAATATATAGTCTAGGTGAGTAGCCATTTTCTGATTCCCTCTTGTGGATTGATAAAAGGTAAGGAAGGGTTTCTCCGATAACACAATGGCAGTGTCTGTATAGTCTTGCAGTAGTTCTAAAATCAGGTCTCTCGAAGGGTCCTGTTGTGCTGTTGGCTTATTCTATTTATTTCAGGGTTCAAGTTTGCGTTGAAATCTCCTGCTATAATATTTATTCTGTTCTGAATGATTGTAGGGTCTAGTCTTTGAAGAATTTGACCCTGTCTGCTGGGTTTGGTGGTGCATATATATTTGTAATGTGAAATGCTTGCTATCTGACAATTGTGTTGGTTGAGATTACTCTACCATCATGTGACTCTTGTGTATTGAGGAATTTAATATTTTTTTTGCCAGCTAATATGGCTATTTTTGTAGACCATGATGAGTCATATCCCCATTGTTTAGATAAAAAGTTTCTTGTTTTAGAATCTCTAAGGTTGGTTTCTTGTAAAATTATTATATCCAAGTTATAGGATTTAAGTAATGTAAGTGTTTTTTGAGCAGGCCTTTGACATTTAGTGTAGTGATTTTGATTATTGATTATGATTTGATTTAGAGTAAAGCTACACTGAGAGGTTTGTCCTAGTAGTAGTTTTTGGAAGTGGGGTTGCTTTACTGTCTATTGTCTGCTTCTTTGTATAGGTGATATGTTTTCATTTGCTCTTTTTTCTTGTTTTTTGCTCTTTGTTTTTTAGAGGTAACTAAGATAAAGGGGTATTCTCTTTAGCTTATTGTTCTGTATTAATCTGGTCCTGAGTGTCAAGCGAATCTGTTTCCATTTTAGAGAATTGGTCTGTAATTGTATTGTTTTTAGTTGGTAACTCTTGTATAGTTTCTACTTCATCTTGAAGTAAGTTGTCAGTTGTTGGTTCAGGAGTGGATTCCAAGGATCTTTCTACTTGGGCCCACTCTGCTGAGCAGTCAAAATAGAGGTTGTTTTGACTGATAATGGGTTCTGGGGCCACTAGCTTCTGGTTCTTGACCTTTTCACATATATGATGACAATATTAAAAACCTTTAAAAATAAGAAAGCTTGTCTAAATTCCACAAAAAAAAAAAAAAGATACTTATCAATTAAATTATATATATTTTGTTGGATTATATCAACCAAAAAATTTATCTGTATCTTTTAACTTTTATGATTAGCACTTGCCACTTATCATATAGATTCCAAAATGTAAACAATAATTTTTACAAAGAAGAAATAAAAAACCTGTTTGAAAATAGGTCAGGATTGTTAGTAAATATTAGAAAAAAATAAAAATACATTATTTGAATTACAATTGTAAATTATACCTACCAAAAGTTTTAGTAGTATCATATACAGTAGATTTTAAAAAATTAGCAGTAGTATTGCAAAATCAAGTTTGGTTCTATGAAGAAGGTAGCAACTACAAAATTGTATCAAGTTCTATGAAGAAGTAATCAAGAACCTACCCAAAAATAATACAAGAATATTAGTCAAAAATCACAAGAAAATAAAAAAGACAACAAAGTGACGAGGTTATTTATTACCAATGACTGCACCAAGAACAATAGATCCAATGAATGTGACTTCAAATTGTCTAGTCAGAAGTTTTTATGAACTAATTTGCAACATAAATCAAACACCTAAACATACCACTCAAGATAAAATTTTAAAAAAGTTTGAATAATTTAGATAATATATATGTGCATTCTCTGTTTCTGTTAAATTATTTAGATAATAGTTTATTAGAAACTTTTTGCTTTAACAAAAAGTAGAGGTTTGATCTAATAAATAGTATATTTAAATATTCAATGAATATTCAAATGTTCAAATATATAATTGTTTCACTGAATTGAATATTCGAATATAAAAATTTTTCACAAATAATTTATTAAATATTCAATGAATATATACTATCTAATTGACTAATTAATACAAGATTGGACACTATATATCATGTTTAATCTTATATATTGATTAGTTAGCATTGCTAATAATATGAGTCCAAAGTAGATAAACAAGATAAAACCTTATTAGCTAGAAGCTTCTCTTCGATTTATCTATATTAAAGTAGCTTGTAAGCATAAAATTCATTTGTTAGCTTGTATATTTAAACTCTCAATTTTCAATCTCATAATATTTGTCTTACTGTAATTCATTATTGTTTTGAATTAACAACTATATTTTATGATTATTAATATTCAATGAATAATCAGTAAATATTCAAAAATTTGTTAATGAATATTCTGATATTAAAAAGATCAAACAAAAAAAACTCTTTCCGGTTTACTTCCGAAATTTATTAAAAAACAAAATTTTAACAAAAAACAACCAGGCTTTTTACAAAAACTCCAAAGTCGATAGGGCCAAAGC